AAATGACTCTCCACAACAATATCTCTCAATGCACTCACAAATATTTATTGTTGTATATAAATGTACAAAAAATGGGCATTTAAACTGCTTTTTATTAATTCAAAGACAGCTCTGAATTAATAATCAAATATGTTTCCTTTCTTTACTACTGGATGAAATTACAAAATGTACCCATCATTTCCCTCATGCTAGTATAGCCACATAAAAGTATCAAACCACCTGTTCAAATGCACCAGAATACAGGAAATCTATATATTTTTTCGCCCCCACACCCCCCGTTAAAAATGTCCCCCCCACATTCAGGATGCTTCCTACGCCCATGAGATCAGGCATCCTCAAAGTCCGGACTCCGGTCCGGATCCGGACCGAACCACAACTGTCTCTGGACTCTGAGCAAATTATACTTTTCATATGTATTATCTGTATTATCTGTGTTATCTGCGAGACATCGCCACAACGCAACGAGTCAAAATTCTCCGCTATGTCCACTGCAAACAGCGCTCTGCATGTACGACTGTTCCACTGTCTGTGTGTGTCTGTCAACGCATTGGTTCAATCACATTCAGCATCCCGTCAGCGTTTTTTTCCCCCACCAACAGTCTGCGAATCAGAGGCACAGTAGGGCGGGTCTTCGCGGAATGCGGGTGGGAAAAATGCATGTGTGTTTAAAAAAAAAAGTCAGAGCGAGAGTTAACAGCTCATCTAGTTGCATCTGTACTGTAGCTAGTAGCCTAGTTTCACCTACCGGGGTGGCATGGGGTGGCAACTGCCACCCTAAAAAGAGGCCTTGCCACCCCAGCTGCCACCCCAGTTGGCAGCTTTGTTTTGAAAGAAAAGTTGTGGCTCATCGGACATATGAGAGAGATAGTCTCTAATGTCCGAGTGCAAGTGAATGCAGCACAAGACGCACGTCTTGTAACCCCTCCCCCCGGCCCTGATTTCATTTGAACGGTACGGCGCAAAACGAGAAGCATTCGGACCCAAGCAAGTACTGAAGGAATGAGGTATTTGCGATCTACAATGACAGAGAAGAGACTGTCAAGTTTGGCTGTACTCAGCATTGAAGCAAAACGCACTAAAGCTGTTGATCTTAATAAGTTTGTGAGGCGTTTTGCTGAACAAAATGGTAATCGCCGCATTCAGCTGCAATAGACATGTCAACTTGATGCTCTGCTCACGGATGAGCATAACTATTAAGATGATGACCTTACGTGTGTAAATATATATTTTTCTTTGTGGGGGTCTGCCCCCAAAAAACAGTTTTAAGTCCTGAGAAAGTAAAATAAGACGGTGTGTAAAACTACACTGCCTTTGCAGCAGCTGGCCCTAGGCTCTGGAACACTCTGCCCCTCCATGTGAGGTCGGCCCAGACCCTAGGGGTTTTTAAATCAAAACTAAAAACACACTTCTTCTCTCTGGCTTTCTAGTCAGAGCGGAGCACGACTCCTGACTTTTCCGTGTGTTTTATTTTTATTTTGTTTTTTAAGATATATCTGTTGTAATTTATTGTCGTTTATTGTGTTTTGTAGTAATGTGTTTTTATTACATGTACAGCACTTTGGCTCGACCAAAAATCGCTTTTAAATGTGCTTTATAAATAAAACCTGATTTGATTTGATTTGATTTGACACTGCCCAGACAAAAAAAAGTAACCACTTTGATTTAACTAGGCCAGTAGGTAAGGACATTCCACTGGATAATAACTGAAGTATAAAAGAATGCATGACTGAAGTGATGGAGACCATGTTTGAAGGCAAACAAAAAGAGGAAATAACAGGTCAGATCAAGCAAAGCCCCCTCTCAGATTCCACAGCAACCAGAAGAACATAAATACTGGCTGGTGATTGGATGAATCAGCTTTGTGATGGAATAGAAAATGCACAGTGCATTTCCTTAGCTGTGGATGAGTCCACTGACACCACTGACAATGCTCAGTTGCTGGTGTTTGTGAGTTTTTATGATGAGGCAAAGGGGGAGTTTGTTGAAGATGTGTTGGGCCTGACGAACCTCAGTGGACACACAAGGGGGCAAGACATTTATAAAGCAATAATGGGAATGCTGAATGAAAGAGGGTGCAGCTGCCTTTATTCATAACTGTGCAGCTCTTACACTGCGACTCTGAGGGATCAAGCACAGACACAAGAACAATGAAAACGGCTGCATACAGAGACTTTTTGTTTTTGCAACCTCGTGTTAAGAATCTTGTTGCAATTGTTTAAAAGACCGTAATAAACGGACCTTTGTCTTATTGAAACAATTTTTTTGGACCTTTAAGATTTGTATTTGAGTACCCCTGCTGTAGATGTTTACATGAAAACACACACTCAATAGCATGAGTACAGGAATCTACGGGATCACACCTTTTACTCGGTGTACACACATCACACATACCTGTTAGTATATTCATATTTATACAACTTGTATTCCCACTACTGCTGTTTTCCCGCCTCTTTAGAGGGACGTTTATTTAGCCATTTATTCAACATAAATATTTAATCGTGTATAAATGATATGTCGAATTCATCAGAAGTAACCAAGACAGCTTATTATGAACTAACCTGTCTGGAATCAACACATAACTTGATAAATACCCACGTTTTTGTTAAATATACAGTAAGTTGAGTGGAGTTTGGTACCTGTGTGCTTGTGAGACACATGGAGGTTGAGCGCACCGCACAGGTTGTCTGTTAGTTTATGAGGCGATGTATGCTAAATACAGGGCTTAATAGTGGATGGAATAAATGCCGAACTCACCAGCATTAAACACAACAGCTTATTATGAATTATTATTGTTTTAAATCAAAGTTTATTTGTCATTATACCCACGTTTTCCTTAAATACTCAGATATTTGGGTGGAGTTTGGTACATTGTGTGGTTTTGTTCGGTCTGGCCTGAATGGAGCCCGGTGGCTTGGCAGGACAGAGATAGCAGTGCACTGAAACACGTGGTCGACTTTGATAAAGTGGCTAACTTTAGCAACGTCACTTAATGCCATTATCGTAGGAAGTAGTTCTGAAAGTTAGCTGATAGCAGGTTAGCATGGATTCAATCTAGAGAGTTAAACTACATTTTAAAGCGATATGGATTCATTCTGAAGGGTGTTGCTGCTTTTATTGATGCTTTTAACTCGTGAGTAAATTAAAAAATGATATTTTATTTTTGGTGCCAGATTATGATGAAAAAAAATAGACCAATATATTTACTATACGTGTTGTTTTTCTCCCTGTCAGATTCAGCATGACAGCCTATGACATTTTGAGAAGAAATAAGACATCCATTGTGGAAACTTTGGGTGGAAACTACATACTAATCCACAACAAAGCCAAGCAGAACAAGTTGATAACTCAACATGATCACAACACTCTGCGAACCGAACAGAACGTTGTGGCGTTGGTGGATAAGATCATGAAGAAAGGAGAGGAGAACTGCCAACTCTTCCTGAACCTCCTGCAAACTGATGAGATCCAGAAGACTTACCCTGAGCTGAAGAACATACTGGAGGTGAGATAACCTAATATTGAAAAAGCACACTTAATGTTAAAATGCTTGCGTCAGGGTTTTTAGTTAGCCTTTGTAAAAAAGACACAATTAACATCCTTATTATCCTGTATTAACTTACATTTTGAAAAACATACGTCAAATTTTTTCGAGATGGCCGTCATTTCCATCCAAGTAAACAGTATTTTTAACATTTTCAACACTCGACCAAATTCTGTGATTTTGGTTTTGAATTACAGCCAAATTCACAATTTAGAAAGTTCTTCAGAGCTACGTTCTGTCCTTTAAACACAGAACGTTACAATGTGGGGCGTATTAGAAAGCACACTGATACTGATGAGAGTCTTCTATGTTAGCAAGCTACCAACACCATGATGTCCCCAGTGTACCTCTACAGTACTACACTCCTACACCCCAACATACCTGCACCACCTACAGCTACAGCATGTTGGCTACCCAGTTTTCTATTGGCAGATTATTTAAATGTTATGGCTTAGACAACTTCTGAGTCTTTCCAGAGGCCTGTACTACGAAGCCGGATGTTCTCTTAGCGAGCTAACTTCAGGGTTAACTCTGGGTTTCCGGTCCTACGACGCTGGTTCTCTTTTTAGCGGGCTAGATCTCCATGGTAACTTATCATATATTTCCTTATCTGAGTCAGCTGAGCCGTATCTGGCCGTGCAACACTCACAGTGTCACATACTGGATGCAGAAGTATTATTTTAAGCAACACATTAAGTTGACGAAACACTCGAGTCAAATGTAATTAAAGTCAGATCGTGTCTTAGACGGGGCAGTGATTTCATAAACCTGTTAATGTACGCATTCAAACACTTTTTCTTTTACCAGCTGTATTCACCTTGCAGGTGCAGCTATGTGGCTTTGATCCTGGATAAAGTGTTTAAATCATGGATGTTTAAAGTTTAACTTCTTCATGTTTGACTAATATTAAAGTTCACTTTTCATTCAGGAAGTATGACGCTGCGCTGTCAGTACGCTTCTCCATGTTTGTGATTGGTCGAATGCTCCAAATACCACCCCTTTCATGTGAACGTGCACCTAACTAGATAGGACACGGCTGGCTTGAGCGATCCACTTGATAACCAGCGTCTTAGTACAGCTTAGCGAGAGCGCGTATGTTTTGGATTGGGCCAACCGGCTAACTCAAACATATCCAGGTTAGGTTGAACCGGCTTCGTAGTACAGGCCTCTGACGTCTGAATTTTGTTTCTACGTTGTTATTAAATGTATGATTTGACACCAAGATCAATTACTGAGCGAGTGAAAGTGATTTAATGGCAAAAAAAGGACATTTCCATCATTGGTGACCGTCTTGAACATTGCCTCCATCTTTTGAGTGGCAAGCAGGCTTTTTCAAAAGAGTCAACTCAAAGGAGTTTGTTTTGAGTACTTGCTTCCACTTTTGGACTATTTATTAACATATGTAATGATCTGCAGCACTATTTAGCAATGATATCCACATAGCTATTATTCTTCATTAAAAACCTTAAAGTGTAAATATATTAGATTGTGTCCACACAGCCCGGCCCTAATCCATTCCAGTTTCATCATGTTGTGTTTGTGTGAAATTGTTTCTGTTGTTTTCAGGACGAGCAGTACATGTTGAGGAGCAAGCCCACTGGCCTCTGCCTGATCATAAACAACAAACATTTTGTTGGTGGTGACGTGAGATATGGAACCGATAAAGATGCTGGTACGTTACAGAGTTGACAGATGTATATTATCATCCCGGTGTTGCCTGTTGAAGCCTAACTAGGTTTTATTTCACTGCAGGAAGATTGGCAGAGGTGTTCAGCTGGCTGGGGTTCAGAGTGCTGATGTGTAAAGACCAAACCAAGGACCAGATGGAGCGAGCGCTGAAATGCTTTGCTTCTCAGTGGGGCCTTTCTCAGCTGCAGGAGTTCAAGGTCCAGGTCCAGGAGTGGACTGGAAGCAGATTCACCAAACTTCGAGAGGCTCCTCGGCATGGCGATGCCTTCATCTGCTGTGTTCTCAGTCACGGAGACAAGGGTGTCGTATCGGGGGTTGATAGGAAGCCCCTCCGTATCAAACAAATAACGAGAATCTTCATGGCAACTCCTCAATCTCCCCTCACTGCCAAGCCCAAAGTGTTCCTGATCCAGGCCTGCCAGGGGGGCCAGATACATCCTAAGGTGTTATTAAAGGGTCTGCAGGCTGATGGCTCTCGCTCGACACAGCCGGCTGATGGCTCTCCCTCGAAATTCATCCCTCAGGAAGCAGATTTTCTAGTTCATACTGCCACTATTGAAGATTATTATTCTATGAGAGACCCAGAGGAGGGGAGCTGGTTCATCCAATCTGTCTGTAACCAGCTAATAGAGGGCTGTCAGAGGTGAATGTCAGACTCAACATTAATTATATAGTTATTGAAATATCCGAAAGATTTTGTAGATCTAAATCTGATGATAAAATCGTTAACATATATTTTACCCTCGACTTAAAGTGACCATCATGTGATAACATGTTTTTCTACCCCTCATATTTTTTTTAGGAATGAAGAAATTGAAGTCATACTCCGCCGCGTGAACAAGGAAGTAGCCAGGAAAGACAGTGTTTTGAGATGTGTTCCGGAGTCTGGTACGAGCTGTGGTCCAACAACGCAGATGCCTGCAATTTGGCACACCCTGAGGAAGCGTCTTGTGTTGACTCCTCGCAACTGAAGCCTCATCGCCAAACACACAATACTGTGAGGACCCCTGCTTTACTCTCTCCTGGTGTGTGTGTGTGTGTGTGTGTGTGTGTGTGTGTGTTTGTGTGTGTGTGTGTGTGTGTGTGTGTGTGTGTGTGTGTGTGTGTGTGTGTGTGTGTGTGTGTGTGTGTGTGTGTGTGTGTGTGTGTGTGTGTGTGTGTGTGTGTGTGTGTGTGTGTGTGTGTGTGTGTGGCCCTTTAACGATCTCCCTTCCTCCCTATCAGCACTGACTGAGGGCACCTGGCCGCCGGCACCTGAGGAGTGAAAGGCCTGAGCCAGAGTCTCTCTCTCTGCTGAGGATCTGTTTGGAAAGCAGCTATCTGATTCATGCTTTGGTTTACCTTCATCTTAGTTTGGCATTTGTTGAGATCTCCATATCAGGTTGAATAATTAAAACGAAAGTTAGTTATAATCAAATATAATCAATTATATTCTTGTATAACCCACAATGAAAATGCTTCATATTTTATGATTTTCTATATTTACAGTATAAACAAAACACAAGTGGTTTGTTAAGTTGAGTTGTGTGTAAGGCCTATAATGGTTTATGGGTGTCACTGATAAGAAGGCAGTTTCTTCCCTCTTCCCTCACAGCAGTACACAGGGAGGGGGGCTCTTGACTTTTTGGAGATAGACTGAGGCCCAAAAAGGTGGTTTTGTCATAACCGAGAATAATGTTTTAGTTCTGTACATTTGAGGTCATGAACTTTTGTTACATAAGCCTGAGGAGGTGTGTCTTGGGTTTGTCTGCCCTGTGTTGAGCTTTAAAACACTGGGTTAGAGAGGGAGAGCTTCAGAGCTGGGTTTTTGCTCTCTGTAAGGTTCTCTCAAACTTGGTAAATATCTCTCGAATTTCTTTGTTGAATGCTGAGTGAATTTCTTTGTGAAATGAGTGGAATGAATTGATGTTTGTTGAATGTTAGTACCCTGCAACCTGTGAGGAAAGGTCCTCTGAATTCATGCTGGACATAGGTGTGTATGTGAAATGGTTTGTTGAATGAAAGTTTGAATGTGCTTTTTATTATCACTGGTCATTTATGAGGAAATGCCTCTAAATTCTATCGGGAGATTTTAAATGTCACAACTGAATTGGGCAGTTGAAGTTACAAATGATGGTAATAAATGTAAAACTGTGAATTGAGGTTTCACATTAGAACATGATCACAGCATGATATGTTTAGTAGGATTATAATGTTGTAACAAGAGAAGGTAAAAACCCAGTATAAGTGTGGACCTATTTTTCTTCAAATAAACTGATGCCAACTTTTGGATTGGGACAACTTGAAAGATATCTGCGCTCTCCTCTCCTGCTTCAAAGGTAAGATTGCACACTGCCACTCTCACACTTAGGTAGGGCCACACCTCATTACTGATATCAAAATCCTTCGGGATCGCTTAAACAGATTTAGGGGGTCGTCTGAATTGAAACAGCAGTTAATTGAACCTGGTTCTTCAGGAGTTAATAGAGGTGAGATCTTGCTAACGTTGGTGGATCTGAGCCAAGCAGTAAACTTACATAGACTCAATCACTTTGGTTAGGTTCATAAGTAGGTCTGAGTAATTTAAGTTCGGAATAAATTATCGGATGACAGTAGTTATACTGATCCCGCTTCCATCACATTAGTATGCATAAAATGTGACAGTGTTAACTATGGATGTTCTCTTAAGTTGTAAGGCTTGTGAACTAATGTTTAATTACTTTACTAACTACAAGGGACTCTCTTTTTGAAAAGAGGGTAATACTAATTAAAAAAGATGTTAATGATCCCCTGATATTGTAATTGTAATGTTTAATTACTTCACACAACTTTAAAAGCCCCTATGAAGTTGTTGTTAACTAAGGATGTTCTTTTGAAAATGTATGGCTTGTGAACTGGATGTTCTCTTAAGTTGTATGGCTTGTGAACTAATGTTTAATTACTTTAACTACAACGAAGTCTCTTTGAAGAGGGTAATAATAATTTAAAGATCTTAATGACCCCTTGATCTTGTCTTTTTATTGTTTAATTACTTTATTAACTATAAGGAAGATTTACTGGTGTGCTTCCCTAGATGATGTAAATAGTCTAAGTGCCATGTTAGGGGGACATTACGGAACTCAGGAGTCCGCCCTTGGAGGCTTGGAGAGCGGATAAAGAGAGGTGTATTTACTGGTGTTGAGCCCTGGATGATGTAAATAGTCCAAGTGCCATGGTAGGGGGACATTACGGAACTCAGGAGTCCGCCCTTTGAGGCGTTGTTAACATTATTGCTTTTTGCTTTTGTTTTTATTACTAAGATACTTTTTAGATAGAAGTGAGCAACACTTTACAACTGGTAGAAAGTTAAGTACTTTGTATGGAATTGGGTTTTCTTTAGAGCTGTTTTCAGTGAGACAATGCAGTTGCTTTCAAGTTTCAAGGCTTTATGGCATATGCCCATTAGCTACAGTGTTTTCATGTTTAATGAAAAACATAGGTCACAGGCTCCTCCAACAGTGCAACAAATATATATATATATATATATATACATATAGAGCACATAAAACAGATAAAATACTGCAATAGAATGTTTTGATATGACAGATTTGTGCGTAATTCTCTCACAAAGGAACTGTAAGATACACGTTTATGTATGGAAAACTTTATAACTTGGTAAAATATTCATTCATTTGTAATGAATTACTTGACTAACATTACTTTTTTTAAATATATGTTTTTAGATGCTTTACATTTGATTTCTTTCATGTTATTTTAACACAACATTACTTTTTTCATATTTTTCAACATACTGTGATATTTGTTTTTTCTCTCCTTTTTCCATTATATTTTTGAATATACAGACACTCAACGCAATAAGTCCCACCCCAATCAGCAAATCATCCAAAACTAAGGACCCCCACTAAGACGAACAGATTTTCTTTAAGACTGTGACTCTTAAAGGCACTTGGGTAAGACAATCCAGTTTTCTGGAAATAACTTAAATGATTTTTGTTTTTTCTCCTACAAAGATACTTATAGTTACACTTTAATGGATGCAAAACTTTATAACTTGATAAAATATTCATTAATTTGTAATGAATTGAGATTCTTAAAGAATCAAACTCTAAATGGAGAGTTTGTGATTTTAACACTGTTTCGATGAAACAATGCAGTTTTGATAACTTGACTTGACTAACATTACTTTTTAAAATATATGTTTTGTTAGATGACTTTACTGATTTTTGCTTTTTTCTTCCTTGCTTTTGTTTGTGTTACTAAGATACTTTTAGATACACTTTGAAGTGTGCAACACTTTACAACTGATAGAATAGTACTTTGTAAGGAATTCGTTTTCTTGGTAGAATATAAAGTACTTTGTAAGGAATTGGGTTTCTTAACAATCCTGCTCCACCATTAAATCACTTAATCTGCTACTTCCAGGCAAAGCTTTACAATTTGTATCGTGTATTAAGTCATGTCTTGGCAAAAATGAGAGTCCTGGGTGCTTTAAAACATTTCTTAGAACATTTTGATATATTCAAACACATAATGAACTGCAATGACTCTGGCTCACTGCTGCATCAAATTTATTTTACACTGTTGTGAGGACAAGACTGTGAGACTCTCAGACCCTTTGTTGTCAATCTAATTAGCCTTGATCTATAAAAAAGTCACCTACTACTTTTATTAGTCCTCTCTAAATTAGATTTAGGGTTTTTAAAATTCTGAAAAGGCGTGTTGTGAGGGGGAAAAAACAGATGTATGTATGCGGTTTTGAATGGTGGCTGGTTGATGAAAACTGATCCAAAATAAGGGGTCAGGAATAATATGGCTTGAAATATGAGCAATCATGTTAATAGCTACAGATACGGTAAAGTACTACAACAACAACATAGGAGTGCTTATACTGTATGTTGTAAAAGCAGGACAAACAAATAAATAAAATGCTGCATTGTTTTTGAAACAAGAACCATATGCCCAAGGCATTTCTACATTTAGATGACATGTTCAGAACTCAGTACATTTGAACCAATAACTAATTTAACCATCAACATCAATTTAAGTGCACACGGCAGTGCAAACAAACAAAAAACAGGCTTGTGTGCATCAGACAACTCAAATTACTCCACTTTAACCATATTTAGAATGTCAGTTATGTTAGTAATTTAACCTAAGTGGAGCCAACCTAAGGAGTGGGCACAACAGTCAGGGACTAGCTTACTTTTTAACATTCTACTCAAAGGGCCCGTAAATATTATCTCCGCCAATATGCTATATTAAAATATCATTACATTTTTTTTTTTTAAATCATAGTATTTCATGTTGAAATGATCAAGGCCAGTCAATGTTATGTTAACACAAACAAAAGTTCTGTTTTATATGTTGAAATATAATTTAAAAAACAACGATATAGTATTTTCAAGTCTTACTTTAGTATGGCAAATTTAAGAATAAGTCACATTAAAGTTTGTCATGATTTTCCGTAAAAAAGTCAAGTATAGTTTGTCAAAAGAATATGAAAAAATCATTTTGTAGAGTAGTATGTTGAAAATCTCAGTGTTTAACTGAACACACCTACATGTGATAACACCTCGAACAAAGGGGTAATTAGCATACAAAGGGGGGTCACTAGCATCAGTGGGGGAAAGGTGCTACAAAAATGAACTTTGAGGAGGGGGAACTTGTAAGAATTTCCAAGGTGAGAGGGGGTCTTTGATAAAAAATAAAAACAGAGTTATACCGACGAATTATTTACGGCGTCCGAACGCATACCTCGTCAACCATCTGTTTACAAACTCAAAGATTATGATGGAGAAGAGATCAAGGGGACTTTTTATGAGAAAGAGTTACAAAAAGTGAAGGGAGTACTTTTTTCTGAACAGATTTTCTTTAAGGCGCCGTTTACACGAGGAGAAAACTGCTTGTATCTGCATAGTTTCGCGTGCGTATAGCCCTATTATTTACACGAGGCCGATAGAAACTGACCCCACAAACGATAACGGGTCCCAAGGTGGATAGATTTGCAAACTAAACGCTCTGGGGGGTCAACCGAGTCCGTGTAATCACCTCTATACGAATATTTCCTGAAAAAATAACGATAGCCCCACCTCTCCCCGCCTCTCCCCACCTCTCCTGCTCACTGCTGTAGCAACTATCAAAAATAGCTGTGTTAATTAAACGCACAAGGGGTTCTTGAATGAAATAATATTATAAAAGGCAAACCAGAATTGTTAACGCCCAATATACTCCTTAAACAAAATAAACAGAGTCAGATTTCATGCATTGATCCATTATATTGACAATTTTCCAGCCAAACAACACAAACAAAATTAAAAAGTCCGCTCTGCGATACACCAACTTGTCTTTACTGCCTAATCCAGGCCATTATTGTTCATTGCTCCTGCGCCCGTCGGCGGCAAAAAGAGAAATGTTTGTAGGCAGAGGACCGGCGTGTCCCAGAGGAGCGATCTCACCCGGTGTTTGTAGAGAATATCTC